AGGATTACTTAGTAAACTAATTGTTAAAACAATTGCAAAGCTCTTATATGGCATGACTGGCAGGGAATTATTTGTGAAATAGTTAAATAATTGTGGCAGCATTTTACAACCTAAATAATGTCTTACATTAAAATGAATTACAGCAAACGGTCACACTCACCAATTTTAATTAAAGATGGAATTATCCTAAAACCAAATGCTCAGTTCTTTACAAGTATACAAGTACCTAATGCTAAACTGGAGTACAATATGCATCAAAAAAAGGTCATTTGAGAAAATCTAAACAGCTGAAAAATTTTGATGAAGACACAAAATACTCAATGTCTCCTTAATGCAACGGCAGAACATGCAGTAAAAAGCCTTGCAAACTTCTCCTGAAAAGCAGCAGTAATGTAACTGGAGTTCATTTATGTCTTCCCTCTTTTTGTAGGTGGCAAGCCACAGATTAACCTTCCTAACTCTTTCCTAAGGCTTTTGGCAGATGGTGTTATCCTAATTTAATTGTGGTGGTTTAAGAGGTTATAGACTTCCACTGATCCTTTCACTCTCTATCTAGGGTTTCTGCTTTTTTGGTAGTAGCAACAAGAAGTCTGAGTCAGATACTGCAGTTTATGACCTGACATAAAAACATAATGGCCATAATTTTCAGGTAATACACAAGGCTGGATATGCACCAGGCTGTGAACTGTAGCATCTAACAAGAGGCTCACTCTCACTACCATGGCAGTCTCCCTTTGGAAGGAGGGGCAGAAGCCTCTCGAGCCTTCTGCAGCAGCAACTGGCAGAGCTCACCGCTGGAGTCTCCAGCCTTTGGGAGAACTAAGACAGAAAGAGCTGCTCAAAAACGAAGTTTGGAATGCTCTGATCAAGGACAAAAAGGGATTCAGATGAAAAACCTATGAAGCAGGTCAGATGTCAAGAATACAGTTTCTTGGTTCTGCCTTGCCTGCAACTCATATACTCTTCTCTGTTATCTATCTAATGTGACCTAACACACCACAGCACTTAAATCAAGAATGCTGTTTCCTCTAAAAATAAACAACAGGGAAAAGGAAAAAGAAATGAGAACATGAATTGATTACAAAGGGCTTTTATTTACAGTAGTTCTGTCCAGGAAAGATGCTTTTTGGAGTTGAGATGTTACAGATGTGCAGGAAAGATTCTTAGTTACCAAACTTTAGGTGTATGTTTTATCCTAATTGATTTGTAAGACAAATGATTAAATTCATGTTTTCACTAGATATCTCTTCAGATGACAACAGTGCCAGAAGGGAAGCCACAAAATTACTAATGTGTAATGAGAGCAAAGAATATAAACTTTTTGTTCAGAGATTAATCCAATGTCATGCTTTCTCTTTTAAAACATAAGCATCGAGTTAACATGACACTGTTACCTTAGTTTAGACTTATCTGCAGGTATCAAAACCTTCAGTGACAGAAGAATCATAAATGTTTGTTGAGTGTGATTAGAAGTGAGGATGCTTTACATTTTTGAAAATTTGTACAGTACTTTAAATGACTGATCTTTTATTTTTAAACTGCCTTCTAAAGATATTTCTTTACAACTCACATGAGGAAACCCTATAAGGGATACATTCTAAGATTTTCAGGCATATGTCCCAAATTTATGTTCCTCAGTGTGGAACAGTGATCCTCAAAATTCTCTAGCAGTAGCTGCATAATCCTGATCTTATAAAAAATTTGTAGGAATCTCATAATTCCTGAGTACTGTATTTCCATGTGCTCAGAGACTGCTGCAGGGAATGCTTTGAAGTGTCTCTACTTTGATCCTTCTGAGAGACTGGGTGACAAGCACATCAAATCACAACAGAGCTTAAGTTTCTGACTTCCTGAGGGGGTTCTGTACTGCAAATTTTCATTCATGGAACACCCCTTAGTCATGGAAAGCAGTGTGACTTTACATACATCCCTGATCTTCCTACTGTCTTGGGAGATTCCTTGGCTGGATTTGGAGGGGATGGAATTCTTACAAACCTTCAAAAAAGAAACTGAGCAAGGAGTTAAGGCAGTTAAGTCATGGATTTTACAACAGTGGATACTGTTTAGGAATCCACCTTGCCCAGCTTATGACAAGTTACTCAGATTCTTCCCTGTTTAGTACTTCCATCTAATCAAAGAGATGTGAACTTCCTGAGAATTAAATGGTGAGAATTAAATGTTTAGGGCTCTGCTCTAAAACACCCCTCTGATTTTTGGAACCATGCTGTGAAAAATCCATAAATACTTAAATCTTATGATCTTCTGAGGAAACAGTTTCCCCAAAATCAGAAAATCAGAATTCTCCCCAAGTTCTTTTAAAAGGAGCAGAGAAGAACCCATGAGACACAAACCACCTGCTACTTCTCACAAGTACAGATAGCAAGAAATGTCATAGCAGGCAGCTCACATTGCAGTACCATTGTGCTCTATACTTCAGAAGCTAGAGAGAACCCTATTCTATACTTTAAAAAGATTGTAAGTATGAAGTAACATTACTTTTTCATTGAATCTACTTCATAAAAAATGAAAGAAAACCTTCTCAGGATTGAAAACTGTCCTCTCTAAAGGTAAGTTGGAAGCAAGAGGATGCATGGAAGAAAGTAAAAAAAATGCCAAGCTAGTAAATTTTTGATAATTCAGATACTGGTATTGAAAAGGATAAAGGAGAAAAGCGAAGTTGCAGCACAAAACACCTAACAGTTGACAACAAGACTGTATTCATGTACCATTTGTCTGTGGTCATATTCAGGGTTTGGGGGAATTTGGAATTACAGATATGTGCTGGAAAGAATTGTAAAGGAGGAATATAGCCTTGTTATGGAAGGCAAAACAAAGTGTGTAATTGAGCTCAAATGAAAAAAAAAAAAACCTGTTAATTTTTGCAGGATGATGAAAAATGAAGGGGAAGCTGATTTTATACAGTGGAATGGGTTCAGGAAACTCACAATAAATTGGAAAACATCCTGGAAAAGTAGAGAACTGGAAACGGAGAATTAGGGTAAAGTGAGGAGGAGAAGGGGTGATAGATCAGAGAGAACATCAGTGTATACAGCAAAAACTCAGAAATGGAGGAAGTTCAGCATATATTCTATAGGTCTGTAGCTCTGTGTACTCACATTACCTCCTCAGATAAATAATGGTGATTTAGGAAGGACAGAATTTCCTGCACAGATTTCCAAGGCATGAAACTGGCAAATTTACTGATCTTCTAAAGTAAGTGAACCAAGAGTAGCATAAACAGTTACATATAAATGTATCTGCTTTCAGAAAGTAGAAAAATTGCAATTTGAAATATTATTCAACTTTAAGTTTATTCCAGGTTATTGGTAACACTCAGATCTTTGTAGACAAATACCAACTCAGATAATAGTTAAAAGAAAAAAAAAAAAATCAAGTCCACAGTTATCAGCCATATATTTTAAGACTAGCAAAGGAAACACAGACATATTGGGCTTGTTTCAACTGCTTGAATGGAAAACAAAAAATAGAAGCTTCATACAGAGCATAAATTTAGTCATGATGCCACTCTGTGAACACTTTGTAAGCCTTAGCTAATTAGTCTATTCAAAATCCCTGCTGGGAAAACAAGTAATATTCTTCTAGTTTTACAAATGAGGGATTGGAAGGAAAGTGACACTACTTTAAGTGTCTTGCCCAAACACATGGAGATTCAGCATGGAGGAGTGTAATTAAAAGTTACAGTGAGTAATTCTTACTGCTGAGTTCAGACTATTTTCTGCATTGCTCAAAAACTTAACAGTGCATTCAGGACAGCAGTGGAGAGGGGATCTGTAGATGGGAGGAAGGATCTTCCACTACAGCTATTAAAACTGTATGAACAAAAATGAAGCAAAACAAAGGGTAACTGAACCACCCACATGTATATGGATAAACTACTATTATTACTTGCCTAGCATTGAAAATGTGCTTGACTGCACATTGTATCATCCAAATATATTGTGAAAACTGATTGTACAAAAAAATAAATTATTTCTGATTATGCAATGCAATCATTTTGACAAGGTCTCAGTAATGTCTATTTCTGCACCAATACAGAGGAAACTGCAAATTTGCGTTAGTGGTATTTGCCTCACAGCTGCATGAATGAAATTATTTATTTCAAGCAGAAACACTTATATAACCCCTTAGTGTAACTTTCATTTGCAGCATCATTTCCAGCAGCTCTCATTTTCACAATGCTGTGGAAGTCACCATGTAGACTTAGGATACTTCAGAAGCAGTAAATCAGGCATGACATCTCTGCTGAATATTAGGGTCACTCTAAGCTGACAGTAGCCAGCTTTGTTATTTCAGTGAAAATCTCTGAGCGAGATTCACTGTGCCACCTGACACAACATACTGATAATTATTAATAGGAAAACATGGTCTAGACTCTAGTTATTGAAAGATATCAGTAATAGCAAACAACTTTGAGTTTATACCATGGGAGCTACACTTCTCTTCCTTTCATGCCCCCCACACCCATGAAGTGGAACTGTTGCAGACTACAGCTCTCCCTCTACTCATACTGCCTAGTGTGGCATGAGATACTCCTTTATCTTGGTGCAATAGGGGTTCCCATGGTGATACACCATCCTCTCCTTCCTTCCACTTTGATTAAGTCTATATTCCTAAATCTCACAAATCTTGCTGGTTGAAATTATGCAAATGACAGCAATAGATGCATAGTATTGTTGGCACATCAAGCTGACTGAAATTTAGCACTGTGAAAGATATTCAAGCACTAATAGAAACTTTTGTGTTGCTGTTAAACTGACCTGTGACTGTAAGTAATTTGCTTTGTAATTTTGATTAAAATTCATCAGTCCAATTTTCTGGTTCTACATCAAAACTCACCCTAAAGTTACACAAATCTATTTTGTTTGGTCTTTGTAAAATGAGACAAATAAAGAAAAGTGTATGGAAGTAATTTCTGAATTGCTAGTGACAGATATTTTCCTTTGATTTCACACATTTGCAGAAGATAGAAGAGACCTTACCGTAGCTGTCATAAGCCTCTTCACTTGTTCCGTGACCATAGTCATAATATTCAGGCACACTGCAACAGATTCAGATAGCCATGTCACTATTATCACAGGTATTCAACTCAAAACAAAAACAGCTCATGAAATAAAAGACATTTTAACACTTTGGCATAATAGCATAGTCCAGCTAGTTTCAGGCATAGTGAATATTTAAAGATATGAAAGAAAATATATCCGTGACAATAAATGCTATCATACAGTACATCACATTTCTTATCTACTCAGCATAAAATGATTTTGATCCTAAATATGTAAACTGGGAGATGTGACAAAGACTGAGAGAAATTGCATCTGCAAACATGAGGTCTAAAAAAGGACCACTGTTTCACACTGATTCACTGTTGCTAAACTAACAAAAGGGTTGTCATCCTTATTTACCTGTAATTCTAAACATTTATGCATTACCAAACTCAGCATGGTTTGTTTACACAAAGCTGACTGTACTGTATGGTGTGGAACCTGCAAACTATTTAACTTAACCAAAAACACTGACAGGTTTTCAGCTTTGATCCTGAAGAAGAAAGCATGTTCCCACTGCCTCTAGAGAGAAATTTTATTCTCCACAGTCTCTTTCCTAACATGGTTGTTGGACACCCATGGAAAGTTTTATACAGTGATCAATAAAACACAAATTGAAAGAAACAAGGGTCTAGGAGTGCAAAATCACACTTAACAGTCTCAAACTAGTTTTTTTTAAAAATTATGAATAGTCATATTAACATGTTATCAAAATATTTCATATAATAGTTATATCCTGATCATCAGCAATTCCAAGCTATTACATGGAGTGGGCATCCAGAAAATTCAACCTCTGAGACATAATTAAATGGAAAGGGAATTCACAGTTTTGCTTCACTGCTATTATTATTTATAGTTGGCATAGTAGTTTTGGTACATGGTACCAAATTCAAGATCAGGCTACTTCTATCCTCAGATAACAGGTAAACATACAAGAATCAGTTTCTGCCCCAAAAAATCTCCATGAACTCCACTATACTGTATTTCTTCAATCTGCAGTGAACCAAACAGAAAATGTAACACTTTCTTTGTTGATAGTTCTTAGTTGTTGTTAATTCTGCTTCTTTTTCCCTGGACACTGTGTGAGACAGACATGCAAAATGAACAAAAACAGGCAAGCAGCTCAATATTGCTATAATTATAGCATTACTGCTCAGGCTATTTCCATATTGGATTATTGTTTAAAAGATATTAGTTTACACTTGAGACAGAAGCTTAATTGACAGTGGAGTACAAGTAGAAATATTTCAGAAGTGCAATAGAGATAAACAAGCAATCTATAACAATTATTTTCTTAAACTAATTTTAACTTTGTTCACAAACAGCCTGTAATCAGATTTTTAATTCTGTGAACTTAATAGCTATCCATAACTATTCTTGGAATAATTTCTGAGAATGTTTCATGTTCTGTCTCACTCGAGAACACTGACTGCATGTATCTGATAACTGACAGTTATCAGTTGACTTGTTTTTTAACTGAAAATGTAACTGTAATTGTTGTGCATTAATTCAGTAGTTTAGTCAGAAGTCATTCATATGAGTGAATGAATTACAGTAACACCAGTATCTCAGAGAGATGAAATTCATTTGCTAAAGCAGTTGCAGAAAATAGACATAAGAATAACGAATGAAGTTAATACTTCAATGAAGACTTTTCCCAGTGTCAACTGAGCTCTATAGGACACAATCACTGTCACTTCCTGGATAGCAGAAGCCATCCAGTTGCTTGAAAATTAATTATCTAAATATACAAACCCACCTACTGAAATGGTGCAAGAACAGACAGGAAGAATACATCTTTTATTTGCAGAACACAATATTCATTCTGTACTATTTTGTAATTATTTCAGTAGCCAATTAAATGGAATTACAGGATTATGTAAGGTGAAGTAAAGCACTGCAGCATCAGGGTTAAATAATTTATCTAGTCATGGCTATAAGCTCATGGCTTAGACATAAGAAATGACTTGGACTGTTCAGAACAGACACATGACATACCACCCAGCTCTGGCAGACAGCCCTATGAAAAACTAATTTTAGAAGCTTCATTTTGGCATACTGCCTGCTTTCCTGGGTAGAGAAGGGTGTTGGACTAGTGAGCAGTGTTAAAAGAAAAGAAACACCAGAACCATCTTCTGCCAGCAGATAGGATGCTAATATCTCTTCCTGATACGTTTTGCAAACCAAAGCAGCTGCCTCCAGAGGTTAGCTTTAAAAGGAGGCCAATCCAAAGGCCAATAACTTATCAACATCAGTCCTGCCTTCAGTGATCACTGATGAGGGCCTTGAGCTATTACCCATCAACATAATATCCAGCAGAACAAGACTTGCAAGAGCAGGTAAAAGATTCATTGCTCCATTATCGGTGTTGTAAGCTTTTATTTAAGAAAGAAACACACAATCATAGAGGTAATAAGAATGTGAGATAAAAATCCTGCAGTGAACATTCTGAACTGAAATACACTATCAACAGAATACTAAGTTAATACACAAACAATCATAAAATAAGAAACAAGCTCTATTACAACTATAAAAAGGAAGAAATTTGTTACATACCACATATTTGATGTCTGTGAGCACAAAACACATTCCTGAAAACACGTAATTCATAGCACAATACACGATTGTCATGTAAGTCCTCCAACTTTATTTCCCTGAATATAACATCTCTTTTGTAGATTTGAGCCAAAATGGCATTTTAAATTCCTTGCTAACTCATATTGAAAAGTGTTTTGAAGAATATGTAAGTGAACAAAACTTAATTCTTACTATAAAATACCAGACTTAAACTCGTATTTTGTGGGCCAGACTGTTTATCCATTCATCTGCCTTATTTGAAACCTCTCTGAATACTCACTATAATCTGTTATCTGCATTTAGTTGTAGACGTTTTCCTGTTTTATAGCAAAGTAAACAATGGGTGATATTTATCAAAAATATGTGATAGATTACGGCTTTAAAACCATTCTTTTTTTAAAAATTACTGAACTACAGAGAGAAGTAGTTCCATTTGCATTATGGCCAACTGAGAAGGAAGCAATCAGCAAGTGCATTCAGCATAAATAATACTTGTTTATATAATTTTATAGTTCTCAGACTGTTCCTGGAAAATATAGTGATCATGAGCTCTAGAAACCACTGACTCTCTTGGCAGTGCTAATTGGAAACAAAACACCATTATCTATCATTAGCATTCATTACTTTCAAGCAACATGAAATGTAATTTACTTAAAGTACATGCACCCACCTGAAAGCAGGATGCAACACATTCTATAAAGCAGATAGGATTAACTCATTACCAACTTCTCAGCTTTTACTTGCACTATACTTTAACACCAGATTTCTGAAACATAGAGGTCTTGATGTACTATGACTTACACCTTAGTAACCTTCTACAGGTAGCAATCATGGAAAAATTGATATACACAGGGGTATGTACTTTACAAGCAGTTTAATTGGGTTTGTATATGAGAAACTCTGATGTAATTTTTCTCTATAAGAAGTATTTACAACACAGATATATGACCCTGTCCTAATTCCTACTCTGTGGACAAGGAGATTAATAATACATCTACTGGAAATCTTCATAACTGTTACCTATTTATGCTTAAAGTTTTTTACTTTTTATTTTGGTTAATATTTCTCAACATGTTCATTTTAAAGATTTGAGATCAAAGTTTCCATAAACTCTGATAAAGCTGGATCAATTTCCTAAAAAAACCCCAAACTCAAACCAGCAGAAGATGCTTGTTTTTGAGAGATAAGGGTCCTTTAGTGCCTTCCAAACTGTATTATCTAGGGCTCCCATGATATGACGAAGGCTCAAGTACAGAGACTGTACCTAAATGGCAACCTTTAAAGCCAACAAAGACTTTTAACCACTTGTTAACTGCGACTTTTTAAAATTGATATTAATACCAAAAACTGAATTCCAGTTTGACTGTGTCAACACCCATGGGAAGCCACACAGCTTTTTACTCAGAAGCCTGTAGAGAATAGCGCTTTAAAGTGGTTTAGGCTGAGAAGCACAAACAAAAGTGCTAAGACTGAAGCCATGAAAGCCTGACTCTTGGGTCAGCAAGCTACCCAAGGGAAGTGTGATGCTCACCACTCAGAGGTCACTGGGGTTAGGTGCAGGAAGACATGCATTAATGAATAGATTGCATTAGCCTTTGACCAATCTCTTCCTGCACCTGCAGGAAGCTGCTGGCAAGAGAGCCTGGGTTATCAACAGAACCATCTGGCTCCCTGGCTGCTCTTACTCTTACAGCTGCAGTAATACAAGGCAGCAGAACATTGCAAGAACAGAAGAACAGAAGCACTTCTTGTTCCCTTGTGCTCTTTGGTTGTGTGTGGGGTTTTGTTTTGTTCTTCCTTTCTCTCTTTTTTTCCTTTGGGCTTTTTTTGGTGAAGGATGCATCTAAGCCTTTATTCTCAAGTGTGGCTGCAGACATACAATGGGCTCTCTAAAGCCAAAGCAGAAAGGTACAAGAAAGAGTTCATATTTAAACATTGCTAATGAGTGAATCTGTACACAAGTGTGTTCTGTAGTCTGTCCTAAAAGATCCTAAGAAATGGAAAATCTTTGAGTAGACCTGTTAATTTAGATTTAGCAGATCATATTTTCCTTTAAAACATTTTCTTTTTCTTTCCTAATGGTACTTTTAAACTGGTAGAGTATATGTCAGTATATTTTATTGGGAAATGCTGGGAAGGAACTAGCCAATTTAGAGGCTTTTGATAAATCACTGGAATTATAACTCTGCCATTAGATAATAATTAGGCTTCTTTTGTGAAATACATGAATTGGTTCAAACTAGAGATTCAGCTGATGTCAGTCAAGTTCCACAGTTCAGACTCATAATGAAATAGGCTAAAAACTTGTACACTAGCCTTTGAAGAAGTAAAAATAATTTGAGATACTTTCATCTTTGTGTTGTTGAACTCGAGAATGTGAGAGTGAACCAGTACTGTGGTTTGGGATTGGAACTCTCTG